CTTTGCTTGTGGCAGACTCTGTCATCATTTTGGTCGCATTTTGACATTTCACATGTTGACAGACATGGTTACCAAACCATATCCTACTGAGGACACAGATGGATATGGTTCTGTGACCGAAATGTTTGCTGGGTATATATATATATATATAGTGTTTAAGCCTATCTCGAAGAGATTCGATCTTACACATTTACTTCGCTATTGATATCGTACGTAGAATCGTTGAGAAAAGAAAAAACTGTTCATCGTATATATACATATATATGACTATCGTATATATACATATATACATATATGTATATATGAGTATAGAAGTTATTATATGTATACTTTGTGAATTCCTCAAGTATAATCTCCGAACCTTGTGAAAATAATCCCTTCTCCTTGAAGCCGCCAATTGCATTGATAAATTTTATTCAATAAAATTTATTAACGCACAACTCGCATAAATTTTATTAAATAAAATTTTTTTCCAGCGAAGAGAGAGAGACAGAATTTCTCAAGAAGACACATTAGTATATATAAATATACTAGAAACCCAAATACCGTCACACAAAGCACCGTACTCACTCAACGTATTTAGCTTTCGAGTCTAAATATTTTAATTATTAGAGATAATATATATATACATACAAGTGACATGCCCGCGAAATAAGAAGATAAATAGCTGTTAACGAGATTAATTATACATAATTTTACGATTCAAGAACGACATTATTAAGAAATACGAATACAGTATAAATATATATATATATATAGATATATAAATAAAAACAAATATATATATATATACATATGGAAACTAATTTCGATGTGCGCAATTGTAGACAAAATGTTGCGCGCGCCATGTAAATATAACGATCGTTAGTAAGTTAATTATTCTTTGTCAGTAAAATTACTGAGCAGAGTGTGTATGAAATAAACGACATTACAAATCGCCAATACAAATTTGTCACATAAGTAGATTTACTTTTTTTTTTTTTTATTTCTTTTGTTACACTCTCCAAATTGCACACGATATGCAGCTAAGAAATACGTATATAAGCTGATTTTGCCAAGACTATATATGTGTGTACGACGTAAAATGTACGATGTATATATATATATAAATCTAACATATATATATATATATATATTTATTGTAGAAAAATATATACATGCCAGTACAAAGATTATATAACGTGTATGTGAAGTTCTACGAAATCAAAACAATAACCATGCATTTCGCATATTTTACAGCCTTTACAGATTTTACCACTAAAAATTAAACAAATCAGCTTATATATACATATACAAAACATTTATAATATTTTTTCTCTTTACATTTATATATATCGGTTTAGAGAGATTCGAGTTATCAGCCATTTTTCTAGAAAAAAAACTGTCGCAGACAAAAAAATCCTTCCGCGAAAATCTTTTCATCGACACTCTGCATGAGATCACGTAGCAGAAGGAACGACGACACGTTAGCAAAAGGTCATTATGAGAATTAAATTAATTACCAAGGCACTGCCACACCGGACCAACAAAACCGAAACGAATGACAGAAGGGATTCGGAGAAGGAAAAAAAACAAAACGCGCCCTAATAATGCAGAAAAGAGAACCAATAATGCTTTATCGAATTTCCGTAATGACAAAAACTATTAAAAAAGATATTATATGAAACCGAGACCCTTCCACGTTTAACGAATGTGCATGAATGCGTAGTTTCAATGTACGTGTGCAAGAGTAATGAGAGAATGAGAAGAAAGAGAAAGAGTGTGTGTGTGTGTGTACGCGAGAGAGAGAGAGAAACGTAGACAAAAAGAAAAGAGAATGAGACACCGTAAATCGTTTTTTTTTTTTTCGGCAAACAACGTCATTGTATACTCTAGCCGTGTGTTTAAGAAGCAAAAAAACCACAATTCTTGTATATGTATATCAATATCTCGATAGTAGCCGTAAGCCTAATTAGTGAGTCGCGGATTTGCATTAACGCAATAGCAATCCACTCGTTTCAATCGCATAATTTATCGTCAGCGACGGTTCATTTATATTCTTTTATTCGAGATCATAGAATCATGTAATTGTTTTTCTATCGCAAACGTTCTTCTGTTTGTTGTCTGTATAATATTTTAGTCACGCAAGAGAGCGATGCGACGTATAATCAGAGCGATACATCTCTGTTCAAACATATTACGAATGTACATTGTGATCTCCGTTGTGATACCTGTTCATCTTTTGTAATTACGAGGGACTTTTTCTAAAGTTGCGTTTTTTAGTTTTTAAGATAATAGCATCGTCTGCAACGACAATTTCCGCAGCTCGTAAGAAACAAACGAAAAAAAACAGAATAGCGAAAATTTGCATACGGATGCGTGCCGGAAGCAAATCCGCGACGCATTATTATTTAACGTAATGTAGTGAGTTTTTGATGTCTTCGAGTAATATATATAATTACAGTTTGTACACGTATACACAACAGCATAAATATTCACATATACATACACAAAAACACACACACATCTGCGCGCGCACAAGTGACATCACTTACGGATTTACCAGAGACACATCGCATCAAAAAGGAAGCGAGGACAATGGCAAATACAGAAAGAAAGAACGTTTCGTCGAAGCAGGCGATAATGACAAGCACATGTGACACAGAAAAAAAAAAAGTAAAAGTATAATTACATGTTGTGGTATAAGCAGTTCTTCGAATGTCGAGTAGCGACGAATACGTCTGTAAATTCGTATAAAATTCGCTCATTCATCGATTCCTATTTTCATTGTATACTGTTAACAAAAAAACAAGTTTCATTGTAATTCAAGTTACATCGGCACAATGTTGCCACATCATTTGTAACAATACACGATTATATTGGTTAATAAAAGTTATCTTATAGACGTAATGTACGTGTAGTTTTCGTCTGCTTTTTTTACTGCTATTTACTTTTTTGCTCCTTTTCATATTTTTTAAACCTCATCTTTGTTTTTTAAACAAATACTAGTACAACACAAGCGCGCGTTACGTTGTTAGTGTTTTTATTTTAACTTGTTGCCAGTAAACATAATCTGTCACCACGATAACAGCTAGTATATATGTCTTACAAACCATAATACATATGATGTACATATGAAAGATGTCAGAACTAACGCATAAAACTCAAACTCGAAAAGTAAAAGAATAAGAGAGAAGTAGAAAAACAGCACGCGTGACTACAGTAAAGTCACGTAACAAAAAAGTAAAAAACTGAATATTTTATATATATATATTGTGCCGGTATAAATATATATATACCGTAATCACGTGACCGAGGTCAGCGACTCCGCCGCGGTCGCCCGGCCGAGGTCAGTGACCCCTCCCAAGGTCGCGCGGCCGCGGTCAGTGACCCCGCCGCGGCCGCCCGGCCGAGGTCAGTGACCCCGCCGCGGTCACGTGACCGAAATCAGTGACCTTACCGTAGTATATATATAATACATATAATACAATATAATATATAATATAATATATATAATATAATTTATATATATAATATATATAATATATAGTTTTAGTCACATAGTGTTTTTCAACTTCTCTCTGTCACGTGACGTTACTTTAGTCACGTTTTTAAAGACACGTTAAAGCGCAGTCACGTTACTTTAGTCACGTAGTGTTTTTTTCTTCTTTTTGTCATGTGACTTTAAAAAACGCACGAATACTTTTGTCTTTTAGTGTCTTGTCCTGAAGCGATTGAAACTAAAACAAAAGTGATCGGTTCAGTCGTTTTTGAGATATTGCTCCATGAAAATTTATTCACTTCTCAATCGCATGAATTTCGCGTATAAGAGAACGGCTTCGCGCCGTTCGACTTCGTTGCGCGTGAACTTGGCCCGAGACACTACCGTGCGTTTTGATATGTAAGACATGAATCGAGAAACACATCCTAGAAACGTTTAATCAGCGTCAAGATAAAAGTAGCAACAATCAATATTGAGAGATTTGATTGTGACTATTTACACACACTTTTTTTGATAGGATATAGAATAATAAAAGATATCGTATGAAAAACACGCATCGACAGCCAATAAGAATGCTCGTGCTAGATTGTATCTACAGTAGATACATAAGATTCCGAATATTTTATTAAAATATTAACTTTTTAAATACTTTTTTATCAAATTATCACGTACTTATTACGTAATTGTAACTTATATATTTTACTTTAAAAATATTTATAACAAAAATATATTTTTTTAATTTTATTAAAATGTTATTGATATAGTACACACACAAGTTTTTGTATATTTTATTAAAAATGTAAAAACCATAAAAAGTGTTTTTATTATATTTGAAAAACACTTTTTGAATAATAAAACAAACGAAAAAATTGTTGTGTGTGACTGAGTAAAATCAATCACCATTTTGTAATAAACGTCAAATTCTGTTACCTGTATGTATAACGTCATTACAAAATGGTGGTAGATTCTATTTATTCACAAAGATAACACAGCGATAAATTTCTCCGATTGTTTTATTATTCGAAAAATTATTTTTCGCGTTTTTTACATTTGCAATGAAACACTGTAAAAAAACAACAGCGTGCACGCAGTCTTTGATAAGCATACCTTTGTTTGAATCTACAATCTTGCGAATAATCAGCTCGGTTTAACTTATTAAATCGACTGAATTGTTAATTGTTGCTTTAATAATTTCAAGAGAGATGGTGTCGTGCCTGAACTCACGTGCGCGTACAAAGTGTGTTAAGGACTTCATCGAAATGAAATCT